ACTAACAAACAAACAAACAAACAAACACTAACAAACAAACAAACAAACAAACACTAACAAACAAACAAACAAACAAACACTAACAAACAAACAAACAAAAAACACCCCCTTTTTCCTTTTTCTGTCCTTCCTTTTGCTTGTTTAGATATAAAACGAAAACCAAACAAAAACAAACCTACGGCACACCACCCACGTCTGCCCTAAGATGTACATATTATAATAATTATTTTACATGTTCCCACGATAATACCTCACTGAATAAATCGAGGGGGAAATAAAAGCACCCTTAATTCATATCTTTTCTTGACTCATACCATTATGACGTCTCTTTCATAACTCTGAACTTTTGTTTTTCTGTATACACTGTTGTACAACCTGGATGTAGGTCTTCTTGAAAGAAATGTCGTGGTGGGCCAGTTCGCTTTTTGCCTACATCTTACCTTGGCCCTTATCACGGCCTGTTTATGGTTCGTTATGGTGTTTTGGCTCGTCTTTTTCCTTTCTGTCTTCGGATGCTCCTTATCCCAGTTTAGTATGTATCGTGGTGAATTACGGAGTAGATGCCCTGGTTCGAACCCCCAAAAGGGCGGTCTGGACTTGAGTTATTTTGGAGAGCTTTATAAGGCTCTTTACCCATTTGGCTCGGTCCTATCGGAGACTGACGTTGAATTCGAAGGTCCCGCTTAAGAAACCTTACAGTGTTGAAAAGGGGATTGGTAAACCTATGCAATGACTTTCTGTCTTCTTTCCTCTTTGTTTTGCAGACGGAATGTCTGGCTTCCTGTTAGAAATAAGTGAAGCAAGTCTGGTAAAACCGTTACATTCCAGCAAATTTATTTTTAAGTCTGACGTTGTTGTTTTTTTTTCTGTCTCGTTTCAGCTTCCTACACTGGCAGCTCCTCCGATGAAGATGACACAAGCCCCAGGGAGAAAACACAGGTAGGTTTGTCTGAGTATTTACCCCACACACATACTCGCTCACACATGTCGCTGTTTGTCTGTCTGTCTGTCTGTCTGTCTGTCTGTCTGTCTGTCTGTCTC